AGATGACCTGGATTTCTGGATTTAATTCTACCCCTAGTGAGCTTTATAATCCTGAGTGAGTCACTGTATTTCTCTGATTTTCAGTTTCCTTATCAAAGTGAGAATGAATATAATTACAATTCAGGGTTGTTATAATAATTAAAGGAAATAATACAGAATGTATAAAAAACATAAACCTCTTTAAATTTAGCAGCAAAGCCACTTTGTAACCCTAATGCCTTCATGGGAAGTAAAAGAGTTAACACATGTCTAGAAAATGTGTAGAATTCACATTAACCAAATGTCATAGCAATTCAGAATAAGCTTTTAAACTTGAGGATTTTGGTTCTTCTCACCTGTCACGCTAAACACCTTGCAGGAGCCTAGGCAAAAATTGAAGATGGCAGTTTTCTGATAGTGAATAGAATGATAATAAAAACAACAGCTGCCATCACTGTTTGTGAGGTGCGAATCACTGTTCTCAATCGCTTTACATATATATTCTCTTTCATGGGATTATGGCTGGGAGGGACTGGTCCTGGATTTGTCTTTTTTCTTGTCTGTCCTTTGCTGACAAAAAATAAATAAATAAATAAATAAATAAATCCATGGCTCCTATATTTGATTAAACATTAAAGAACACATTTGGTCTTATTTCTGAAGCTCCTTCATGACTGTTCTCTGCTGCCTTCAGGACCATAATTTGGGTTGTCAACCTGTACTTAGGAATGAAATTTTGAAGAAAATGTCCTTTGCTTTGCACTTGAGTGAGGAGGTTAAGAATAGGCAAATTTCAGTTCTGAATTATTAAATTCATGATGCTTTTTAGATGAGAATTCTAAAAAATGTATATAATTCCTGTGCATGTCTATTCTCATTATATGTAATTTCAAGTATTTATACTTGTTTTAAGTACAAACATAACATTTATTGATCCATCCATTCAAGTAATAATAGAATACTATTATTTAGATACTATCTAGCTGCAGAGAAATATAGATAGCAGTTAATGTCACGTCATTCATCACATCTGCCTTGATAAACTAGTTTTTTGAAAGCTACCAAAAACAACAAACAACAAAAAACTCCCTGCTTACTTCTCTGTTTTTAATCTTATATTAATGCTTTCTTTTACTCTATGTTTTTCTTCTTTCACAATTTCCTTTCTCCGCAGATTAAAGAATAAAAGCAATTTTCTTCTTCACATACTCTCTTGCTGATTAATGTTGCTTCTACCAGTAAGTCTTAGACTTTTGAAGATGACAGAATTAATGCTTGCTGCATCAAGATAGGATTTTTAGTGCTCTCCATTAAAAAGTGTGACTATGTTTACACACTCTTACATGCTGTTTACTATTTCTGTTTATATTCTAGGGGAGGAAAGGAGGCTCTTCATCTCACAAGAGTTTGAAAATTCTATCAGAACATTTTCACAATATCAGTATGGAGGGCACTATTCTCATTTTCTTGACAGAGTATCAGTGCATGCCCAAGGTGCACTTGCAGCTGCATATCTATTTTGGGCAGTCACTGAAGATCAAAGACAAGTATGGGCTCCTAATGTCATCCATTAACTGTTTGGCCTTCTATATCCTCAAGAGAAAATCATATTTTATGAATTCTTATACAATTAAGTTGGATACTTAATCAACTACCCAAACTTCTTGGCTCCAGCAGTTTACATAGAATACAGATCCATGATAAGTGAGCATCAGTACTCTGAAATTCTAAGTGGCCAAAAAGCTAACAGTTATATGGCCGGGTGGCCAGCAAAGGGAGACATAACCCTTGACAACCACAGACTCTTATGTCATTTTAGGGTGAAATATGCTAAGGAGTAGCACTATAATATTTTGGAACATATAATGTTGGGAACTATAATGTTTAAGGGCTATAATGATGGGAAAGGCATATATGTGGAAAGCCTCAAAGTTAAGCAGTTATATTTGAAATCAATCATTTCTAGTTATGGGATCAGGACTTTATTTTTTATTTATTTATTTTTTTTACACTCTCATGACTTAATTTATTTTATACCTGGAAGTTTGTACTTCTAATCTTTTTTTTTTTTTTTTACAAATAGTTTATTGTCAAATTAGTTTCCACATAACACTCAGG